TTTACGACCACCAATATTACCTGAAATGCCTGAAGATTATGCGCAAATGATGCAGAGGTGTTGGGATGTGGATCCATTAAAAAGACCAACTAGTAGTGAACTTTATCGATTTGCTATTAATAAACATGACGAAATTATTAATAATGATAATGATAATAGTAATGATACTACTACTAGTAGTGGTAGTAGTAGTGCTTTGCAACAAGTACATGAGTCACATCCAGATGCATATCATAAAAGTAGGATACTAGATGAAGAGATTGCTAAATCAAAAAGCTTGAAAATTTATACAAGTAATGATAGTTCGTTAAATAGTCTTGATTTTAACTCTTTTCTCTTAAATGCTGAAGGTAAATAAAAATTTCATTTTTAATTAATTAATTGGAACTTTACTATCCATTAATTATTACTAACAATATTTTTAATTGCGTTAGGTCCTAATAATAAAAAAAAAAGAATTGATGAATGACTAATTTTAATCACCTAAATTATTTGTTATAATTATTTGTCTTTTTAATTTATCTTTATTTTATTTCTTAAAGCTAAATAATAAAATTTTCGCAGTTTTTTGATTCTTGTTTATACCAACAAATAAGATATATATCATTGAAATCATCCTAAAATGGATAAACAAAAAGAATTATCGTTATTTTTAAAAAAACGACTGAAGAAAATAGTTGCATAATCTACAAGATCTAGGATACAAGTTATTTGTGTACTAATTATATGCGTTTTTTGTAAAATTGATACATTTTGGATTTTGATCTGCTAAAAAAAACAAAATAAATAAGCAAATGTTTAAAGTTATTTTTAAGGTAAATATGATTGATTATGGACTGAGGTTGATGTAACAACTCGTCAGGGAGCGAAATCCTATTACTGTTATGAAATTCCGAGCATTACGGTAAAATTTAGAATGTCCGATTACGATAAAAATTTTGGGAATCCGTTTCCATTCATAATAATAATAATAATACAATAAAAGTTCTTATTCGAATTATCCGTAATACTAATACTGATACTGATATAACTTAATCTTAATTCGAATTATTATTATTTCATTTTATTTGAATTATTTGTTTTATAAAATGTGAAAAGATATTAATTCACAGCTTGATGCAACTAATTCTATATAAATAAGGTCTTATTTCCTTTGACAAGAAATCAAAAATCAGGTGACTTGATCCATGTTCGTTTCGAATAAGTTCGAGTTTCATTGATTTATTCAGAGCCTTAAATTGCACAATTACGGGCTTTAATGAAGCAGGGAAGAAAAGGTATAAGAACGAAAATAATCCTTAATTTTCATAATAAACAATGTTAGAGAAGAGACTTTAATGGCATGCCTATATGAAAAAGCGACAAGCTTGGAATGTGGTTTGTAAGCGAATCACACGATTGTCACATTTGGACTTAAAGACCACCCACAAGGTCCTATCAAACAACTTTTTTGCGAATTAAAAAAAAGGTGCCGTGTACAGCTGATAACTCGGTCAAATTTGTTCTTTATGTTATGAGAGAAAATTTGATAGAAGACAATAACTCTGATCAATCCAAATTTGAAAAACAAATGCCGGGTAAAAATCATTAACAATATGATACGTTAAACTTTTTATTGGATTGGGTAATGATTTGTAAACTTTATTTCTCACACACTAATTTTTTTTAGCTGTATTGGAGTCGTAACATCAATGCCTCTCGCAACACAAGATAAATTTATTTGCATATTCAAGAAACTGGTGTCACGATTCAAAGGAACAAAATTTTCAGCTTGACCAGGTTGTCTCACGATTAAGCTAGGCCTTTAATTCCCTGCGGAGTGGGAATTAATTCCGTACCCTGCTAGCTAGTTAACACCAGGGCTGGAAATAGAGTTCGAAAAAAAGAAAATTCTTTTGAATGTTCCAGAAGATAAATTTAAAAAAAGGATTTTGAATTTTGACAATTTTCTCAAGTATTAGTTACCTTTATTTATTCCGTTTCTTCTACGAAGGAATTTACCGAGAGCATCATTAAAATCATGGTTAAACACATTATAAACCAACCATTATTAATAAGTTAACTTTGACGATATTCTGTTCGCTAATTGGATCGAAGGAAGTAAATCATGTATAACTAAATTTTGATTTGACCAAATCATCCTTCTCATTCTTCTCAAACCCAAAGAATAATTCGTTGAATGATTTTTCCATAAATTGAAACTAATTCTGATTCACCATATAAATATTAAAGATTCCTTGTCTTTTGGCCATTCATATTTTAACATTCAACCTGACTTTTTAAAATGTACTTTATTTGACCTTTTAATATAGCTTATACTTCTGGTGGTTCCGCAATGCAAATTTCTTCACTTTGATGGTGATGGTTCATCCGAATATTACATAGAATGTGATATGGTTTCTAAATACTTGTTTTTCTTCGTACTTAATTTACTAGTTTTTATTTTTTGTTTGGTTTTTCTCAAGCATCATCACCTAAAACTTGAATTGTCAAATCATTTGAACTTTCTAAAGTCAAGATATCTGATCCGTCCGTCATCATCATTATTATTCAGTTCATCCAAAATTTCTGCAGTCAAATTATCTCCATTCACTATAATTGTGACATGTTGTCATTAAGATAATTGGCTCTATAAAAAAAAACAATAATTAATACACCTTATTATTATATACCTATATATGGATGTCATTGTCCAAATTCAAATAATAGTTCCATGGAATTTTCCGAATAAAATTTTATTAATATTGTATATCGTATCGTTTTTTGCTATACTCTTTTGGAAAGGCTTAGTATTCATGGGACATAGTTTTGACAGTGATCTAGTAGTTGGTAAAATGTGGTCGGTCCCTTTAACTAATGTGTTTTCTTAAACATTGGTAGAGTATTGCTAGTGTAATTTCCGCTGGATTCAATTTTACTTTCTAAATGGTCATCATCAATTAACAACATTAATGCAAGTATTTATTCAGTTGCAATAAATATTTATTTAATTTATTGAATTCAGAAATGATTTAAAATTACACGGAATAAATGGACTTTTCGATCCCTCTAGTCTAGCATTTTTAAACCAATTAAAACCATGGGCTTCCTGAAATAGACTAATCAATAAACTTCGTACTATTAAACATATTAAACGACAACATTTTGTTGAACATTACGATTTTTTTTGGTGATGTTTAAACAATTTTTGTTTATATTTTCAATAATCACAAATATATACGTTGGTTTGTAGCGCCATATATATATTAATATATAAATATCTCGATAATTTGTTTTCTTGTATTCTTGAAGTCTGTTTCTTTTCATTTGAAATGGGATACATCAAAGGTAACATTCCTGGTGCCTATGACAATAATAACTACAATGACCACAATTCAAATTTTAATAATTCCGGCCAAAACACGCAATACACGTCCACAGATAATTGGCAAGGAACCATACAACTCCTCTCGGATATCTTAGATCAACTGCTATATAACTTAAATCAACTACATCCCTTACAACAACAAGCGAATCATTACTTAAATCAACTGCTACATCCCTTACAACAACTACAAGAAATCTTACAACCACTGCTATCTTACTTGCAACAACATCCTTTACAACAACTCTTACAACAACTGCAAAGCATCTCACAGCCACTGCTACAATACTTACAACAAGGAATGAAACGTCACTTACAACAACTGGAAAATTACTTACAACAATTGCAAGTAATCTCACAACAGCTGCTACAACATTTACGACAACAAACACCACCACAACCCTCAGAATCATATCAAATTTCCTTACAACAGCAACAAGAGCAAGAACTATCGTTACAATCCACACAACAGTCGCAACAACTCTCACCATATCACCAACAACCCATAGAACAACTGCGATCTTTAGAAGATTATCCACAAAAATTCACATTACAGGAAATAGCGGAATTCTTGCGAGGACGAATCACAAATCCAATAGATCATTTTTTTTTGGGAGACTATATAATAATTGTTAAATATGCTTTTGACGAACGTAATTTAACTGTGCAAAAACGCTTGGAAGGTGGAGAAGAAACTAGAGGGACAATTATTAATGAGGAAGAAAATCGTCATCAATACGAATCGGAAAGTGAAATCATTAAATTGAAAGAAAGTAATATTGAATTAAAAAGTCAATTGGATATTAAAGCTGCTGAAATGGACAAAATACTCAAGGATATGGAAAGTAACGAAGATTTGAAAAATGCTATCGAAGAACTGAAGGGAGAAAATAAAAACTTGAAAAAAGAATTAAAAGAAAAAAACGATGAAATGAAAGAATACAATAAAATGGAAGAAAAATACAATAAAATGGAAGAAAAATACAATAAAATGGAAGAAAAATACAATAAAATGAAAATCAAATTCAATGAATCGGAAAATACCCAAAATAAAAATAATAAAGATAAGCAGCCAAACCAGTGGTTTTCAAATAATAAAAATCATGATAATAAGCTCAAAGTACTTCAATCACAATGTAATACCCTCGAAAGCGAATGTCAAGGATTTAAGGAAAATAACGATAGATTAGAGAAATTATTAAATTTAAAAGATAAAGAAATTGATTATTTGAAAGAAGCCAATGAAAAATTAAAGAAAGAGGCTATCAAATATCAATCAGCTTTGGGCGATGCAACAAGTTTTCATCTAGGAAGTCAAGACCCCAACAGCGCTGGACAATTATCAAAAGATATTCATGATTTACACAACAATTTAGTAAAATTTTGTGGACTGAGAAAGGCAGATGCTGATGTTAATATATCGACGGTAAAAGAACTCTTGAAAAAATTTGGTTGTTCGCTCACCGTAAGTAATAAGATAAGCACTACCGACAAAATTTTGATCTCTGGCGCGTTGGAACGTCACGTAATTGAAATGATCATTGAAAAAACCAAAAATTACCTTAAAAAAGTCAATGAAAAAGATGTCAAACAAGATGACGAAAATCGACAACAAAGCTTGGAAGCAAAAATAGTTAATACGACAGAGCAACTGTTGGAATTGACAAATTCGATTCCAACATATCGCGCTGGGACTGATGAAGTTACCAAAGCTACTTCAACAAAATTACGTCAACAAATTTATGGTGTACTTGGGAATCGTGGGTTTTCCAATATGGTCGCAGATGGAGGTAAAAGGCATCCGTTGATTATGGGATTACAGAAAAATATTTTAAAATCAATGGATGATTATCGTACAATTAAAAACCCAGAAGAAAAATTACCAGAAATTAAAAAATTGATTGATATGATTATTAGACAAGTTATTAGTATATTTTTTTTCAGATTAAAAGTGCAAGAACCTGTTGCCGATTATAAATTTTTTACAATTAACACAAGTATCAATACTAAAATGATGGAAGCACCTTTAGACGAAAGTGAGATTGAAGATTATTGTGTTAATGTTTGTGAATTCCCAATAATTGGATCTAACCTTTGTGAAGCTGACATATCTGACAAAGATTTGAAAGTAATCTTTCCTGCGCAAATTACGACTATTAAAAAATCATCAGTCAATTTGATCGTCCTTTAATTAGACTTTTCTTTCCTTTCTTTATTATTATTTGTGATTCATTTTTCATATTTTTCATTTTTATCAAATTAAACTGAATATTTATTTATTAAACACCAATAAAATTTGAAATTATGTTGAACATCCATTCGTGGTAAAGTTTTTATTTATAACATGCATGAACTTTTGAAGTTATCACGCTAGTACAAACTATTGTACAAACCTTTTTTTTTTTTAACGCTTATACATTGAATGGTTTTGTTTTGTGATTGATTGATTTTGGTAATAATATTTACAATTGGTTTGGAAAAAAACACGCAATACAATTATTTGTTTTCTTTGTTTGAAGAAATCAAATGTCTCACAATAATACAAATAAAATAACGTGTGTGTATATAAATATACGTGTCAATTCAAACATCACAAATAATAAATTCTTATAAAAAAATTTACATTTCATCATGGATTCTCATGCAATCGAATATGAACCTGCCAGACCAGAGGATTTACGTGTAGTTGTTGGAGTGGGTGAGTATATAACCCACAAAAAAGGTTTCTTACAGAAACTTGTTTTTCTAATAAGCATCGTCTTTTTTTATATGACTCCTTAAATCTCAGATTTCGGCACAACATTTTCGGTAAACTTCTTTTTAATCGCTACGCACTATTTTTTTTCTTATCTTTCAGTTAACTGACGCCTCGTCTCTTTATTTTTTATCAGGGTTTCGCTTACGCTTACATTAAACCAGACAAGGCGAAAATAGAGGTTGTAGTAAATCAAGAGTGGGGAAATTACAAAAGTCCTGATAAAACCAATACAGTATTACAATACGACGAAGACTATGAGGATGTCGTATCTTGGGGAGCCGAGGCGTTAAGTTCCGAGCCTAGCAGAAGAAAAAAATATAGTAATAAACCTTTACCAAGACCGTTGGAATATTTCAAACTTCATTTAGGAGATGTCCCGGAAAGCAAAAAACCAAAATTACCGCCTGGAATTACCTTTCACAAAGTTATAACTGATTATCTTCGCGAAATAGGTAATTAGCCATGTTTTTATTTAATGATTAATTACATATCATTTAATGACTATCGCATCAGAAAATTTATTCAAAATTAATCACACGAATTATTAGGAAAGGTATGATGATAAGTTAAAATAAATTGTACAGTCAAACCTTGCCACAGCGGACTATTTGCGTCATAAAATTTTTACTTTATATATAAAATATATATGACGAACGAAATTAGTAATTTTGGCATGTTGTCCCGTGGCATGGTGATTCGACTGTATTTCCTGTTTATACGTTAGTGTTAATTTAACTTTTTGTGATACGACAGACGATAAAAGATAGAATAAAACTTCATTGGCCTGGAATTGACTTTTACAGTCATGTGCGATTGGTTTTTACAGTACCTGCTGGTAACTATTTATCTTATTTATAAATGCATATATGTATGTGTATATATACATACACAAAATATACAAATTACTTTAAAAACTATCATTTTAGAATTCAATGAAAAGTCCAAGACAATTATGAGAAAATGTGCATACGATGCCGACTTGATCAAATCTATTGGCACATTAAGTCTTCAATTTACCACTGAACGTAAGAAAGCATTTTAAATACTAAACGTAACGTTATCAGGTGATATTTGTCTAATATACTTTGACCTAAATTTTAGCGGAGGCTGCTGCAATTCATTGTATGAATAAGTTGAATGAATTGAATTTAAAAACTGGAGGTACACATTAAATAATTAATTTTTGGGCTCACATTGCTCACCCTATAACTTTAAATAACATTTTTCCCGTATGATTTAACTTAGCAAAATACTTGGTTGTTGATTGTGGTGGAGGAACTGTGGATTTAACAGTTAGAAAGTTATTATCAGATGATCGAATAGCAGAAACAACTGAACGTTCAGGAGATTTTTGTGGAGGAACCTATGTTGATGATGAGTTTTTAAAATTTATTGAAAGTAGAGTAGGCAAATCTGCAATGAACATGTTAAAGGAAAAACATTATGGTCAGGTTAATTATTTAATACATAAATATTTTTGTCCCGGAATTAAAATTCCATTCACTGGTGAAAAATCCCAATTCAAAGATATTGAATTGGACATTCAGAGAAAATGTCCTGCAATTATGCAATATGTCACTGGGTCAGAAAGAGAACAATTGTCGGATGAGGATGAATGGATCATTGATTTTGATTTTGACACCGTGAAATCATTTTTTGACCCAGTAATCAACAAGATTTTGAGATTGATTGAGGTACAACTGTCAAAATGTCCAGACTGTTCGGTGATGTTTTTGGTTGGAGGATTCAGTGAATCAAAATATCTTCAAGCTAGGATTAGACAGAGATTTGAAAAACAATTGAAAATAGCAAGTATGTTGGTTGGCTGACCATCACTTTTTTTTAAAAGAAAAATTAAAGCAGTTATTCAACATATATTTTATTTATTACAGTTCCAACTAATCCGGCTGCTGCAATTGTAAGAGGTGCATGTGAATATGGACTTGATATGAAGACTGTGACTACAAGAGTACTAAAATGGACGTATGGAGTTCGAGTTTATCCTAAATGGGTAAGCATCATCAACAAAAGCCAAAATATCATTATTATATTATTATTATCCCAAATAACTATATTTTTTTTTAATATTAGCAAACTGGTGATCCGCTATCTCGTAAAACGTCAGATGATCGGATATATAAGTTTTTGAAGATGGCCAGAAAGGGGACAGAGGTGGATGTGGATGAAGAATTTTCCAAGAGCATGATTCCTGTTTACCCTCACCAAACCTCAATAATTTTTAACTTTTTTTATACCTCCAAATACGATGCATCTTATTGCGATGAACCTGAGATGAAAAAATTGGGCAGTTTCACTGTTGAATTGCCCGATGCTAATTTAGGACTGAATCGTTCTGTGCTACTAACATTACGTTTCGCATCTATGGAAGCTACTGTTGCAACTGCAAGGAATGAAAATACTGGTAAAGTTTATCGCACAACATTTACCAATACGGAATGATATAGATGACTATTTTATTTATTATATTGTTAGTTTTTTCTTGTATTAATTATATCATAGACCATAAATTTTGGATAATAAATAAATATAATTTCTAATCTATTTGCTTGTTTGAGTATCTTAATTAATAATTGCTTGTAGTAACAATTGGTCAGCTTCAAAATATTAAAACAAAAATTTTTAAAAAAAAGTTAACCGATAAGTTTTATTGTTCATGACTCAAGCTTCAAATCCTATTGGTGCACTTAAAACCCAAGCAAATTTCGTGTCACAGTGGTTTTTCATGACTTTGATGCATTGTATTCGGCTTTTTGAGTAAATGTATGTTCTTTTTTGTCATTCAAAGTAATGTAGGTGGACCCATCTCAGCTAAATGCCTATGCCATTGAATTCTGCACTAAAATTCCAGACGTAAAAATGAATGCTAAGAGAAATTTTTTTTAGCCGGCTGACATCACTAGATTTTTCTTTAACATGATTGACATTTTTATTTGAATAACATAACAAGTCACGTGCAGACGATCGAAGGTACAAGGATCCTTGTAATTTTAATTCCCACGCTTCCCAAAAATAAAAATTCATAATTCATATTACTATGGATAATAAGGAAGAACAAGTCACTACTGTTATAATGACATTGAATTTTATTTATTTACAAAAAATAGAGATGTTAAATTCACACAATCTATTACTATATGAGGGATTTTTGCACAATTCTAATTTCCTTTATACAATGTGTCTTTATCTCTGTATTTATCATATCACATTTTTTTATGTATTTAACAGCTAAAAACAGGTTTATTTATTCTGTTTAAAAATTAATTAATTGTTATTTTTATATCTCAACAAAGATCAACATTTTTATTTTTAAGTAAATAACACATCAGTGGTCCAAGATAGGTTTTAATATAGTTAAAATTGAGTTTTCAAATATTTGTTCAGAAAATTTTTTTACTGCACACTCTCTAGCATTAATTTGTATATTGTTATATTCAAACTCTGATAAAGAAAATACTTTGTAAAGCTCTTTTGCAAAATTTTCTTCATTATTTGCAAGAAATCCTAATAGATATATAATACAGGATTAATAATTGGTTTTTTTAATAAACATGGACAAAAAAATTTACCACCTGTTGTTTTATCATTATACGGAATGACAATATCCATCTTAGGGCCACCTGAACTATGTGCAATGGGTATGATTCCAGCAGCCTAATAATAATTTAAATAATAATATTGATGATGATGATGATTAAAAAGATTTTTAAAAGAAATCAAAGTGTTTACCATATATTCAACAACACCAATTCCAAAATGTTCATTCCACATTGTATGTAGTCCAACTTTAGCTTTTGACAACCAATCTACAAGTGTATTGAAATCAGCATTCACCTCAAATTTAACATTTTCCTAAGCATAAAAATGTTATTTTTTAAAAATAAATAAAAATAATAGTAACAATAATAGTAATGATGATGATGATGATGATGATGATGATGATGATGATGAAATATTAACTAACTTCTATACCAAGTTTTTTGACTTTTTCCTTTAATGCTTCTATTCTTGATTCATCAGCTAAATTACGACTACTACCAATTAATACAAGCTTTACTTTTCCTGAACCTTCACGAAAATCTTGATGATCTCTTAGTAAACAATGCAATGATTTTAACTGAAGTTCATGATCTTTTTCTGGTCTAAAATTATAATTAAAATAATAAATATTTAAATAAATTAAAAAAATTTTTGATTAATGTGTTTGAAATAAATATTTGTGAAATTAACCTAAATTGTGCAATGCTGACTATAATTCTTTCTCTTCCATCCAAAGGTAATTTAGATAAAGAATCCGTATCACATGGTGGATAAATTATATTGCCATTAACGCCCCAAAGTTGATCTATGTGACCTTTTGTCCAAGTGGAATTGACCATAACTATATCTGCATATGAACCAGATAATGAATAAAGATATGCAAAAATTTTATAATATCTAAATTATTCAATAAATTTATTAGTTAGATAGATATATAATCTTGGAAATAAATGTGTGAAATGAAATAAATTATTCACTCATTCATCCATTCATTATTCATTTATTCACTCATTCATTTGTTAAATTAATCAATCTTACAATAATTTTGCCTCGCTAAATATTCTACTTTTAGCTATTATTTTATCGTTATTAAATCCAGGTCTTCTTTCTTGCACCTTAGTAAGCATGTCTGAACTATATAAAAATTGTAAACAAATGTGGAAAAATTGGAGTTTTAATCTAAATCAATTTTTGTTACTTTTACCTTATAGTTGGATAATGTACATAGGCCAAAACTTTACATCCAAATAATTTTTTTGCAATTGGATATGTGAATGCATAACCCATTGTATCTTAAAAAATCACATTTATTATTGATTACTTATTCATAAATATATAAATCACTTTATATTATTATTATTATTATTATTATCATTATTATTATTATTAAATACCAAAATATATATCTGGGGTAAGTTTATTTAATGCCTCGTATCCAAGAACCATTGAACCAATGCTTTGACCTAATAATGTGAATCTAGGATATCTAAAAAAAACCAAATTTAATATACAGTACAAAGAAATATAGTTTTATTAATTATTATCATTATTATTATTACTATTACTTCCACTACTATCACTTTTTACCTTCGATCTACTACCCACTCTCTTTTGTGTAGAAATATAAATTCAACAATTTCTGATTTAATTTCAATATTAAATCTTTCCTAGGAGTTGTTTAACAATTTAATTTAACTTAATGATATTATTACATTTTCTTTTAGCTTGTTTTATTATTATTATTTTGTGATCAACAAACATACTAAAACTTTTGATAAAATTTCTTTCTTTGTCACATCCACATCTCCTGTATAAACAACACATATTACATTCAAATATTTCCCTTGGATACTATGAATAGTTGTCCACAAAACCCTTTCACCACCACCACCAGAATTACTGTATGTATATAAGTTTAATTAATTGATTAATTAATTAATTAATTGATTACATCAATTATTGTTACTCTGAAATTTGTTATGAATTAATTACCAATATGGATGAAAGAATCCAAGTATTAAGGGTTTATTTGTGGTAAATTTATCATTGTTATTTTTTAAAAAATTAAAAAATTCACTTCTATTTTTATTAGAATTGTGAGAAATACTTGATTTTAAGTGAAATATTAAAAATATTAAATAAAACGTTGATATCAAAACGAGAATATATATTATAAACATTTTGATTTGAAATTTTTCAAAAAACTTCAGGGGTGCATATTTTAGTAACCAGCAGGGATATGATTTTATTGCATCTGCATAATATTGCATGATATTACATAATCAATATAAATTAATCGTGTGTATTTTTCCGCGCAACCGGCATGTTTAGAAATTAAATTGACGATCTCATTATAAATTGATCAAAATCTCCAGTTAATTACATTATAGTGCAGCAAATATTTGACTATAAAATCCAAGAAATGAACTAACTGGTTATAGAATGGGGTTTTATTGTGGATTTGAGTATAACATCTAAAGAATCTCGATCTAAATCAATATTGATCAAAATAGTAAAAGAAAATTCAATCTCTAAAATTAAACTGATTAGATTTTCAATTTATATATATTTTACTTAAAACAATATTGTTATTAGGATTCATTTGGAACATTTAAAGTAGATATTAATTACTAAATGGTGACAATATATGAAGGCAAAAGACATTATGAATTCTGTGATTGGTGTAGGGATACTGCAAGTGTATATATACATAATTTTAATACACAAGTTTGATATTCAGTGCTATGATCATGTGAATATATATTTTGGATGTTTCCTTCCAAGGGGGTTTTTTTTTTATTTTTACACGTGTTTCAACATTTCTCAAGAAAATGGACATGAAGAAAATGATAACTGGCCTTGTGCTTACCCTACACCTAGTTTGGTTGAGACTAACTGGCCTTGTTTATAGGAAAGTTGTTATCAATATTTTGTAATTGCAGGTATGAAAATAAAAAATAACATGTATATCACTTGGAGCACAAGAAATTAATCAATTAATGATGGGATATCACTACAGTAATTCTCACATTCCTCATGTACATAAGGCCAATAATCAGTCAGACTAAGGTTCCCTGACAATACAATGATGCAACTAAACTTATTGTCCAAAATCCTCATAAAGTAATATTCATATGAAAGATTAGAGTATTTTACACTTATTGAACCATCATCAATCAAGCTACATGTGGGAAAATAATTACACCATTTTTGAATAGTTGTAACTTTTTGCAGAGAATATTCCATTGAAAGCTTTAATTGAGCAGTTTTATTTTATTTTTAAAAAAAACAGTAACACAAATTCGTGATTACACTTAATAATTAATATTAAAACCTGGATATCTGCACTATTGATACTAGCAAACATAAATAAGTAAGTGTTATCAGAGCAATGTTAGAAATCACTGGTTCAAGCACTAGTTTAAAAAAGTAGATAAAAAAAAAAGTAAGCAACAATTGGGTAGAGAAGAAGCATTTTATGAGTAAGTATTATAGTAACATTAGAAGCTATTAGTCCAAGCTCTAGTTATTTTTGAAAAAAAAATACATTATAATAAATGTTAATCATGGGTTTTTTCTTGTTAAAAAAACAATTAAAAAATCAACAAACCAGTAATAATGATAATATAGTTAAAAAACAAACCTAATATTGTCATTTATCCAGTATTATATACAACTATTGAACCTGAACTTTATGAAGCTGGATTAGAAAAGATCCTTGCAAAGAAAAAAGAGCTCAAGAATGGGATGGTCTTGGCCTTGCATAAATGCATGATCCTATGATGGATGTGGCAGATATTTGAAAGGTTTAAGAGTATAATTTATCTATTGTTTCTGGAGAGATAAATAATAATATTATAATTTCTCTTCACATTATGTGATTAATAAAATGAAATAATGCCAAACATAATTATATGGAAAACCAACCAAAATTAGGAGGGCAACTCTTGTTGACTGACTTGTTGAAGTTCATTACAAATTTCGTTTATTACATTCTTAACAGTCAACTTAGTTGATACAGGTCTCATCAGCTTGTATAGCCTCCATGGTCAAATTAAAACTTCTAGGCATTACTGCACTTTTTATTTTTGCCAAATATGAAGATGTTAAGGCTCCATCCATCAGTAATTACATTATGTTTGAAAATGGCTACATAAGAGATGAAATTCTCAATGCAGAACAACATTTATTACAAACTATTTATTATAAGTTGAATTATTCCAACCCAATGAATTTCCTTAAATGTAACTCAAAAGCTGACCAATATAATATTCAGGCTTGCATCGTTGTCAAATATCTAAAAGAGACCACTCTTGTTGATCATGCCTTTTTAACTTGTACTCCCTCCATTACTGCTGCAGCTTCGTTGTATATAGCAATGATGATCAAGAAAAAAGTGATCAATGGACAGAATCTTAAATAGCAAAATTCATGAACAAAAGAATTCTTCCAATCGAAGAAAATGATGAATTGATTAAGGTTCTCTTTTATTCTTTGTAGAAATATGTAAATTAAGAAATTATAAATTTTTTAAGAGACAAAAAAACTTTATAAAAACCCTTTACTGACCTTTGACGAGAAGGATTACGGGAGTTAAAGAACAAAGTTGTTAAGAAAAGAAAAAGAATTCAAAGAAGTCACAGAGATAATAAAATTTCATTTTTTAGCAATTATTTGTTCAGGGATTAAAATAAATAATATTGTGTTATTGTTATAAAATTCCGCATTAAACTGAGATTTTGAATATATCAAATATTTTAATGTTAATATAACAACAGTGTCTCGTGCTATCAAACCGTAAGACAACATTTTGCAAATTCAATGAATGGTTCTTTGATTATCAGGAAGAAATTGAGCATTTTTCTCAACAAGACAAAACGATTAAATGAAATCTTTTTTTGTAAACATAGAACTCCTTATGATATTATTAATATATAATTTCATTCATTTCAGCTACCATTGTCTTTAGAAGTACCACTAGCAGCAGCAACTTTCAAAAAACAAATTATGGACAATGACATTCACTCAGATATATTCTTATAGTTGCATTTAAAAATCACTTCCGCATCTCTTAATATTCTTTATTCTAAAAATATAATGTAATGATTTCCTTTTGTAAATAAATAGCAACAATAAATTTATATACTGTAGATGACAATATATCATCAGTTAGTTCACTGAAAGAGTAAGTAAAAAAGATTTATTTCCTTTTTTTATATTGATCATGCAACTATGCGGCAATTTTGCTTGATTATGCCTGATTATGCAATATTGTTCCTGATATGATATTACTATTAGGTTGGAGTAACTTCATTTTCAAGAATTTCCGGTCCCCCGACGACAGTTCTCCTTGATTAATATAGAATGGAAAACCTATCATTAATTTTTTAGTCCAGAAAAATACCCAATACTCGTAGTAAATAAAAGATAAAAAAATAACAATAATATTAGTAGAGTATCAATGATGAACCGTTAGATAATAATAATAGTAGTAGTAACATTAATAATGTCGAACTATTAGATAATAACAGTAGCAATGGTAATTGTGATACAACTATTTTAATAATAATAACATAATAGTGAGTGGAAAAATCATTAATAATAAATTTATATATAGAAAAATATATCATTTTAAGCAAGTTGGCTTAACCGGCTGACACAATATTCGAATATTTAAAGGATGTAAAAAGGCAAATTTGCTGATCGTCAAAATTTTCAAAATTTGAAAAAACATTTAATACAATTTGAAAAACCGAAAAACTTTTCTCTATAAGAAAAACCGACTGAACAATCAAAATGAAATTCAATATTTCCCTTCTCCTATTAATTGTCTTTGCTGTTGTCGCTTTAGCAAGACCAATTGATGATTTTAACGATGATATGCAGAAACGTAAGTATTTTATTTATTATTACTAATTACAATAAATATCATAAAAAATTAAATCATTCCTTTTTCTTTTTTCTTTAAATAATGAATAGGTGGTAAGTATTTTTATTATTGTTATTACCGGTATCATTGTTTTGAAAAAATGTTAACTGCTGATTTTCATTTTATTTTAAATAATAAATAGGCTGTAAGTAGTTTCATCATTATTTATTACTACAGTCAATATTATTGTTTTTTGAAAAAAGTATTAACAGTCAATTTTCATTTTATTTTAAATAATAAATAGCTCGTAAGTATTTTCATCATTAGTCAATATCATTGCTTTTGAAAAAATATTAACTGTTGATTTTCATTTTATTTTAAATAATAAATAATAGAATGTAAGTATTTTCATTATTGTTATTATTATTAATATTATTATTGAAAAAATATTATTGTTGATTTCAATTTACTTTAAATAATAAATAGGGGGGTAAGTATTTTCTTCGTTATTATATTATTACAGTCAATTTTATTTTTGAAAAAATTTGATTTAGTATTTTCGTCATCATTACTATCATTACAGCCGATATTATTTTTAAATGTTAATTTTCATTTTATAAAATAGAGAAGAAAGTCCCACAATTCCGGAACGCTAACACTAGAAAAAACCATGCGTGTCACTTGATTCTTTTACTTCACATACCTTATTACATTTATCTTTATAATTTTATCATTCAATATATTGATTCAACAAGCGATATATTTATTTGATTTTTATTAAATTAGGGATAATTATATATTATTATTTCATATTATATTTTTCTTGGAAATAAAGAAAGTTTTATTTATTAATTTTTACGTTACAAACTATTTTCACATCATTTTAAAAGTATTAAAAACACTGATAATTCCATCAAATTAATACTAATACTTATATGCAAATAAATATTTGTTTGAAAGATAAACAATACGAATCGAAATGCCTTTTATAAATAAAATATTAATATGAATAAAAATTCTTTAAGCTTTTTTTTAAAATATTACGTTTTGTAACATTACCAAAAAAAAATTTTTTTATTACAATTAAAAAACTAGTAGCAATTAGGTTTTGACTATTATCAAAAGTTGCAGCCTGTATCCTTAATTAGGTTTCATTTTTTTATAACAAAAAAATATAAATTGAAATGAAACAATAAAGTATTTCCCCCAAAAAATCACGGTGATTTTGTTAATACAGCTGTACCTGTCCACTTATAAATGGTATCTCGGCCCGTGTTAGGATTTATAAGCTACTTGCATCAAATAATGATCCTGAATATACTATATATTACATAGATTATTATTTAAGAAAATGATCAAAAAAATATATATATACATTAATATTAATAATTTCTTTGTTTAACAGAATCTTTTCATAGTATTATTTCTACTATTTGCAAATTTCCAGTTATAATCAGATCTGTGGGGGGAATGCAGCCTTGTAAATGCAAGCACCATTCTTGGGGTACATACTCAAGTTGAGGATATTTCACACCAAGTGTTTTTGTAATGGCATTGTAGTCCACTCTTTCTATAACGGATCTCTAATTTCCTTTACATTTTATAATGGACTAAAATTTTGTCCCAATTTTTTGCTTTTGAAATCTCTCTCTATAATTATTAATTAAAATTTTGTATAATAATAACGTATACCTGAAAACTATTTTATATTATATGGGGTATGGACAATAGAAAGGGACCTAACTGCAAGGTCATGAATTTGAGTAAATTGAAAAAAAAGATCCGCATTTCAAATAATTTACTAGTTTTTTAAAACTTTAACAGAAAATATCTCAAAATTTTATCAAGTAATGTGGGTATGGTTTCTAGGCTAAAATTGTTCCTTATTATGATTTAAATATACATGTAGCATCAACTCAAAATCACAATTTTGGCAGTTGAGGCCTTTTCTATTATTCATGCCCCATATGACCTATATTAATATATAAATAACGGATTCGCGTGACCTAAAAATAAAAAAAATGCAGATCCCTACAATAAATTTTTTTTAACGTTAAGTTTGGATGGAAAATCTGTGTTCAGTTTGTTATAAACAATCTTGACCAAAGAAAGAAGTATCTTGCATATTAGCTTTAGTTTTTTTACAAATATATTCAAAGGTTTAATTAAATTTAATTGGATAGAATTAAATCCAATCAAAAAGGTTCGTAAATAATCAAAAAATGCAGTAGTTTCGACTACATTGACTGGTCACTCTGAAATCATTACTCATATTTTTTCACCATCAAGTTACTTGAAATTTTTTGGTGCTAAAATATTAAATAATCTCAAAGATTGAATGAAGCTTTGAATCCAAACAAGAGAAAAAAAAAATCTACTGAAAAAGAAGTCAGGGTATCAAAAAGAAAACATACACCTATAACAATCTCACAAAGACCCAAACATAAAAATAACCAGCTTGCGTCTAAATATAATGTCAGTGAATCTACTCTTTCTGAAATCCTAAAAAAGAGTGATTATTTTTTATCATTAAATCCAAATCATGAGAGATCAACAAAATATCCAGAAAATAAAGAAAATTCTAAATAAATTTATTACCCCGTTTATGACTAATAATAACTTTAAAACCCTGTTAATATGAAACCCCGTTAATCTGAAGAAAAGTGAATTATTGACATTTTTAAAAGATCAAAAAAATACTATTTGATTTACAAATAATAATAATAATAATCCAAGATTTATTGATCAGACTAAAATTGACAAACAAATAAATAAAAGAGAAGTATTGTTATTTCTAAAAAATGACTAAAGAAAATCATTGTTTTGTGTGTGCAAATTTCAATTTCCTATATTATTAAAAATAAAAAACATTAAATAAAAAAAAAATTTTTTACACATTTAAAACTAATATCATTAAAAAATAAAACAAAACATGACTTAGCTATTTAATCATTTCCTTGTATGTGAATGCCTCCATCCATCAAATATTCATGATGATCATGATTATTATGCAATACATTTGATGTCATCATTGATATAACAAACAATTGCATTGTAGTAATAATACCAAGACCATACAGAAATGAAACTTTTAACAATGTGTGTCTACCCAGATCTCTGGGGGTTCACAAGAATAAATGAATAGGAAGGATCTAAAAA